TCCAACTAAATCTAAAAGATAAAACTCTATTGAGGTAATAAATAAAAAAAAATTTCAAATTGAGCCTTTTTGCCAAACTGTAAAAAAAAATGAAGTATCGCAGAACTGTAAATATGCAACTTATGTTAAAAAAATTTTGTGCACTGTGTTGGTGTGTGTGTGTGGTGTTAAAATGATACAGGTGTGCATTTAATCACAACACAGTGTATCACAATGCACTACAATGAGTCACAACGCTTTGACATGTGCTGCCACACAGTTGAATTAATGTTATTTCAAAAAGAAAAAGCAAGCACTGTGATGCATTCTAACAATGCACTGCAGCTCGTGCATGGCATACACCACAATATGTTGCACATGTATGTTAAGGGGGTGTTTTTTTTTAACTGGGGGGGGGGGGGGGGGGTTTGTATTGAGGACACTCTGTCCTCAATCTTTTTCTGCAGCCCCAGCACTAAATGAATAGAACGCACTCAGTACAGAGGCTTCCCGTTCATTCCCAAACTGGAGATAGTGAAATATTTACTATCATCCAGTTATGAATGGGTAGAAGCATCTAATGTGCTACTACCCATTCATAAACTCATGAATGTACAGGAAGTGATGTAAATCCCCTGTGTCCCCAGTTTAAAAGCACTGGAGTGATGAGCTGATCACTCCAGTGTTTGTTCGGCACAGAGAATCTGTAAATATCACAGATATGTAACGATCCTCTCGATCTGCCATTTTGAGCGCTCGGCCATGCACAGATGACAGAGCCGCATTGCCAAAGAGAAAGTAACAGGCAGCGGCACACTGCTCGGCCATCCTGACATGTAGCACTCCCTCCCCTGCAGGCCAATTCTCCTTGGATTCCCGCTGCCTCAGCCCATACACAGCCACTAATGACGGGTAAAATTGTACAGGGCACAGTCCGGGGGAACTGTTCTTGTATAAGTTTATGGTCGCCAAAGTGACCATAAGCTTATGGCTGAACAGTAAAAGCCACCAACATAAGGCTTACAGACGTGGCCAGCTGGAAGCAGTTGTGTTCCGAAAGGGTTAACCTATTCATGCATAATGTATTTCTTATACTAACTTATCTGGCTACCTCTATGGGGAAGGGTATGCCATGTACTATAGTTGTTTAGTTATGTGCCATATTCCAAAAATAATGATGCCACATAGTATGTGTTAAATTTAGGGGTGGATGATAAATCCAAATGCATTTTGCAATCTAAGCTCTCCTATATCGGTAATAAAACAGATCTCCTATCTGGGCATTGACCTTAATTAGTCTATCTCTAGCTAACACACAACTGTGGCCCATTCTTGGCTATGCTTAGAAGTGAGTTGTCCCAATTAGCGAGAACTGAATTGTCATAGTCTGGCAGATTGGCTCCGTTTAAAATGCAGGTTTTGCCAAGCCACTATACTTTTCTCTATGCTTCCTATCCTCATTTAATACATTGTTTAAAACTTTCATGTGGGGGGTAGATGTTTTATCTAATTAAACAAAGATTTGCTGGGGGTATGGGTTGTGTGAATATATCTTGCTTGATAAATTAATAAAATTTGTCCAAACGGTATTATGCTATGGATCTATTTGCATTCTTATGAGTTTATGACTAACTTTGCGAGATAAAGGAGAAAGTGGATTGCTGAGAAAACTGAGCCTTGTGAACTGGAGGAGATTATTTCGGAGTGCTTTATGACCTGTTTTGATAGATAGGTCTACCCATTTCTTTGAATGCTGCTGAAATCGGTGGTGTGGAACACGTTTGGGAGAGGAGTCACTAAAAGCAAGATATATGCACTTGTGGGGAATATTTTTGCAGCTTAATAAGGATTAAGGATTGTATTTGGGGACTATCTTTCACCAAGGGACTTGAATAATTTTAGCTGAATGTATCTGCAAGGTATTATCTATTTAAATTAGGTGTGGTTGTGAACAACAATTTATTTGCCTATTTATTGCTATGTATTATTTCTTATTTTATGCTTATTCATCTGTCTGTATTTTGGGACACCAAATAGGTTTTAACACTTTTATTAAGCTGTTCTTTGCGCTGGGCATTTGTTGACACAAATATTTTAAAGGGCAGTTTTCTCTGAGCACAGCAGCTTTTTTAGGGTTAATTGTGAGTCATTAGCATGGATCTTGGTATATATGCTATGGTTAAATTTTTTTTGCAGTTATTAGAATAGCAACGTCCAGTTGCAGCAGAGACTACGTGAAGTGCTGTCGTCTAGAACACTAAAGGGGGTCATTACCTGGCAGTTTTTGAGTCCAAAAGGTGATCTCTAGTGATAAACAGCTACTTTTTGCCAATCCTCCAACCCCATTTATGGTATACCCCCAAAGAAGCTGATGAAACAGAGATTTGCTTCACCAGCTTCTTCTCTGACTATAGCAGCAGTGTGCATGTGCTATCACATAGGGGGATTGTTCGCCCCATATGTGATGGCAATAATATTGTGTTAAAAAAAGTCACTTAAAGAAATGTTTAAAAAAAAAAATGTGCAAGTCCCCCACCCCCACGTATACACACATATAAACGTAAATGTGTTAGGTGTGCCAATGCGCGGACACGACAATTGTGCTACACATGTTACATATCGCCGCAAACGGAATGAGAACAATAATTTTAGGGCCATCAATCACTGATAACACTAAACTGATGAGCGGTAAAATATTTTAAAGCGTCACCTATGGCCAATTATGGGTATTGTAGTTTTTTTTTATTTTGCGGACGCACGGAATTTTGAAGGCTTGACATGTTTGATGTATTTTTACCTGACGTGACCCCGTCTTTTATATTTTACCAATAAATTGGGTAATAATAAATGTGTCATGATTTAATATAGGGGAAAACGTTTTTTTCCCCCAAAAAATTGTCGGTAAATTTTCCTTAATATAATAAAAAATTAAAAACCCCAGTGGTGATTAAATACCACCAAAAGAAAGCTTTTTGTGTCACCAAAAAATTGGTATAAATTAATTTCAGTACAGCATTGCTTGACAGAATAAATTTCATCCAAAATACTGCAGAGCTGAATACTGAAAAATGGCCTGAACAGGAAGGGGGGTTTAACATCCCAGTCAGCAAGTGGTTAAACAACTGTAGTATCAGGCTGCAACATAACAGAATTGGAAAAAAAAAGTGAATGGGGCCTGAATACTTTCTGAATGCACTGTATATATTTGGCTGTCTTTGTGGACTTTTATATTGTTGGAAAACAATAACTACGCTGCATGAGTGCCTTCATAATTATGAATCTGCTATTTGTAAAGTTATTGCTTCTGGCACTTATAATCAACCAAGTTCCCCAACACATTCTTCAGTTGAATGTAGCAATACAGAAAAACTTGCAATCTGTAGGAAACTACACAGGATTGGATTTAAAAACTACAATGTTTGTCCTTGAATGGCCAAGTCCAGGTCTTAATCCAGTATAAAATTTGTCACTGGTTTTGAATAAGAGGGTTAATTTACATTCCCTATGCAAGCTAATAGATCTTTGAGCAGCTTTCCCAATAGGAATGGGGAAAACCCTCATTGTGCGCAAACGTGTTTGAAAAGCCATGCCATAAAACCGGAACAATTGTCAGTCTGTTCTCTTTGAATCATCTGAATGGTCTGAATGTTAGCCTTAAAAAAAAAATGGAGAAGATGGACCATTGATGGCTACCTGCTCCTTTACTGGGGGGGACACCTGCTCACAGCAGCAGCCTTTTTTTGTCTACAATTTTATCACTTCGGAGATCAGGTGCAGTGTTGGCATACACGGACGTCCTTTAAACTGCAGCCACAATTGACAGCTACCTACCATTATTTTTCAGGCCTAAAGTGCACTTAACTGTTTAAAGCTTAGCCAGCAACCGGCAGGTTAAAACAGCAACAATTCTGCTAGCTACAGTTGCAGACTTGGAATAGTGACTAATCCACGCACCATTTTAAACTGGCAGACGGTCTCAAACGTTTTTGCCACACCTTTCCACCCCCCACCACCACCCCCCTCGCTACTAGTGCTTGAACCATAGGCTGTCCTTGCTAGCCTGTGTCCAGCACTAAGCCCGGGAACTTAATTGATCTTTTTTATCTTTTGGGCTTCTGATGCTTCTGTAGGGCACTCCATCTTTGCAGGCTATAGAAGTGAATGTAAACAGAATGCTTCAAAATGTCCTCTGAGTACAGAGGGTGGGACAGAACTGTTAGTGGTTATTGCTGGCTAAATAAACAGCTAAAATAAATGTGTGAATGTTTATACTGTTAAATATAAACAAAGCATTTTTAATTATCTTCAGCCAGTTTTATGTTTCATAAAGGTCTGCCAAAAGTGTGTGAGCCTCCAGTATCGCATATCTGCTCTTTGGACAAGGAATCAGCCATGTAGCTCATGCATATCATTTAAATGTTTATATTAATCACACTGAGGAAGCAGTATGAAATTTAGGCCTGGTTCACACCTGGGCGTTTTACAGCGCGTTCCTACGCGCTATATAACGCTCAACATGTGAAAACCAATGATTGCCTATGGGCATTGTTCCCACCTGGGCGTTTTACAGCGTGTAGGAACGCGCTGCAAAACGCCCTATGCCCAAAGAAGTACAGGAGCTTCTTTGGGGCGTATTTGCCGCGCGTATCCATTAGTATACAGCCGGATAGGCCTCGGAAACGCGCGTTGCGTGTTTTTTTTTTACCGTGAATCGCTGTAAAAACACGAGGCACGAAACGCGCGGCAAACGCGCATATTCGATACGCCTAGGTGTGAAACCCATCCTTAGTGTTTTTTTTTTCCATTAAACATGATTTCCTGTTCTCAGTTGTTTAAGGTTTTGTTTCTCTAATGGTAAAAAGAAAGCCTGGTGATTATGTAACTGTTTTTTTTTGTTAGTGCCTGGCAAACAAGAGAAGACCCCCCCGCCCCCCACCCCAAAATGCTGTGATACTACTAATTCTACTTCTGGCTGCTTCTCTAATTTGTTTTTTCCCCTCTACCCCACATCTCTGTAATAGATTGCCTCTTCTGCCGGATCCAGTATTAGCTCACTCACTTCCATTACAGCTATGAGCAGTGCCTCAGTCGATACAACTGTCTCCAGGTAACATGCAAATATTTGATCTTTATCTTAACAATCTGTTTGCAAAACTGATTTCTTTTAACGTTATTAACAAAAACAAAACACTGTTTACCAGATACATACATGTTGGTTTATGAGACAGAGCCATGCCAGACCTTTTTTTTTTTATAAAGGATAACAAATAGTAACCAGCAAATATGTGCCCATTTAGTATCAGGTTAACGTATGCTGAATAGTTATTGGCATGTAAGCAATTCATGGTGTACTGGTATTTATTACTGGCCTATCAGACAGTAGCTCATCAGAATGAAGTAGAGTATCTCAGCATTCAATTACCAGACCATTACTCATGTGGAGCTGTGTAGTCCTTTGCAGTGTTTAAGCTCCAGCCAACTTGGAACATATACAGCATATGACAGCATAAATGTGTAGTGATAGGTTCTGTAAGAATATTTACTCTGATAAAAAATAAAACTGTTTTTAATTTATGAAAACAGGCCAGGATTTGAAATTAAGGAGATTCCCAACTAATTTTTACAAATCAACTAATAATTCAAGTTCTTTATTTGCGCTAACTTGAAGATGAAATAAAAACTATAATGTGCAAAAATATAATAAAAACTATAATGTGCAAAAATATAATATAAACTAAAATCAGTGCACAATAATTATCAAAATATAACTGGTGACAATAATGAATATGGATCAAAATTGCAATAATATTGATCAGCCAAAATAATAAAAATAAAACCACAGGATGTAATTTCAAATATTGTAAAAAAAATAACTTGGAATACAATTGGTAACACTCTCAGTAGCTAAGCAGAATATGACAAAATAATGTGCAGATTCAACACGTGACCTCTCCCAGCAAAACAGATGTTCAAAAGCTCAACGTTCTACTGCGCATGAACTAACTCATAATACTGTGCACGGGACTGGCTAATCAGCCAAGAATCTATCTAAGGTAACGACAAACTTCCACTAAGTTATTTTATATACAGTTATGTGAAAAAGTGTTGGCCACTCTTCCTGATTTTTCATTGTTTTGCACGTTTGTCACTCTTTAATGTTTCAGATCATCAAACAAATTTAAATATTAGTCAAAGATAACACAAGTAAACACAACATGCAGGTTTTTTTTTAACCAAGTAAATTTTTATTGGTTTTGATACGAAAATAACATTGCGTATCAACATGAAAAGATGCAATCAAGTACAACTATTGGTTGTTATATTAGCGGGTAATGCTATATACATAGTGAAACATCACTTAGGTTCCCTGCAGTATTCTAATACAATGTAATAATAACACCGTTGTACTAAGCACAAGTATCTAAAAACATTAACAGAAGTGTTCATCTGAGTTATCGCACTGTATGCAGTAATGTGGAGAAAGACACATAGGAGCAGATAAAGAGAGAATAAAAAAGGAACCAACACAAGATTCTCTAGGGAGCTCAATTTGGATTAGAAGAGCACCAAGTTATCCAGGAGTTCCAAAGGCCGTCAAATTTATGGATGTTATCGGTTTGAAAAGCTAATATTATTTCATAGTAATAGTGTAGATGAACTAAATTAGTAATCTGTAAAATATTAGGAGACTCTGGAGTCCTCCAGTTTCTAGCTATAAGTAGCCGGGCAGCCAATAGAATATGAGTTATTACAATTCTAGTGTTTGGAGGAAAATCCTCCAATCCGAGATTGAGAAGTTCCAGTGCTGGCTCAGGGGTGGCAGCCCGACCACTGATTGCACCAATTATCCGAAACATGTCTCCCCAAAGGTGCTGCACTTCGGGGCATTGCCAGAAGGTGTGCAGTAGGTTCCCCACTTGACCACAGTTCCCCCAGCACAATGCGGAATGTTCTGCCGAAAACTTAGCCAATCTGTAGGGAGTAAGGTACCATCGAAGGATACGTTTCAAAGAGACCTCCCAAAGGTTCACGCATTTAGTGGTTGAGAATATCATACTCAGTGCTCTGGTCCACTGGGCTGGAGAAAACGTGATGTGCAGGTCTGTTTCCCACTTCTGGAATGGAAGAGACTTAACGAAAGAATGCTTCTCCTGTAAGCTGTAGATCAAGGAAATGCCCTTAGTGAATGTGTTGGGTTTATGATGGAATGTCCACAGGTTGTTAGGGATTGAAACCTCAGGGTGCGGATCCCATTTAGCTGTATCTGAGAACATTGGTAAAACGTGGAAGGATGGAGGGAATATTGACTACATAGTACAGGAAAAGGTTTGAGTTTGTTGTTTTCATAGAGATCAGGTAATCGAACTAGCCTGCCAATGTTTAAGATTAAGGTCTGGAATGAGCAGCTCCAAAACTTCTATCGGTACAGATATTCTAGTGGTCGGTTCTAGAGAGAATTTCAAGGAGCATAGGTGTCTCCAAGCGGTCATAGAGTCATCTATAGTTGGGGATGTAGGATCTTTTGAAAACCCCAGACACAGGCTGGCCAACAGAAAATTAAGGAAGTTATTTCTAGGGAGGAAGGATGGTTCAATTTCCCTCCAAAGGGTATAAGGGGAGGGACTAAACCATGATTTGATTTTTTCTAGTAGAACTGCGAAATAATAGTCTGAGATCGACCATACCCATGCCACCCGCCGATCTGTGTCTAATTAATTGGCGGTATGCGCATCGTGCCCTCTTGTTCTGCCAAATATATTTGAGCAGTAAAGTTTTAAGGGAGTTAAAATAGTGGGAAGGTAGCGGTATTGGTAGTGTTCTAAGTAGATAAAGTGCTTTGGTAAGGAGCGACATTTTGAAGGCTGCTAGGCAGCCAGACCATGAGAGTTCGTGTTTACTCAGTTCTATGAGATCATTTTGGAACATATTTAAGAATGGGAGATAGTTTTCTCTGTATAGAGACGTAGTGTGCGGAGTGAGGTTAATGCCCAGATATGATATTTTATCATCGCTCCAGGCACAGGGAAGTGAGGCAGATATATTTTTCTGTGTTGCAGAGGGGATGCCAATATTGAGAATATGAGATTTAGAATCGTTGACTTTATAGTAGGAGATGCGGCCAAATTGGTGTATAACTTTGTGGAATTCCAACAGGGAGGGAGCTGGGTTCGTGATCATAAAAATCACATCATCAGCAATCAATTGTATTTTGTGATGGTGGTGGGAGAGGTGGAATCCTGTAATAGAGGGGTTGGTTCTAATAGCTACGGTGAAGGGTTCCACGAGTAGATTAAATATTAAATGTGATAAGGGGCATCCCTGTCTCGTGCCATTAGATATGCAGAAGGATGAAGAAAGGATTCCCGAGACTGCCTTTCCTGATAGGCATGAGTATAACGCCATAATGGCATCATAAATTGGGCCAGCGAAGCCAAACCTGTGGAGCACGTGTTCCATGTATTGCCAATAAATTCTATCAAACGCCTTCTCAGCATCTAACGTCAGAAGGACAGAAGGAGTTTTGGATTTGGAGGCCCAGTGTATGAAATTAATAAGTCTACGAGTGGCATCGGGTGCCTGTCTACCCAATGGAAATCCCGACTGATCCTGATGGATCAAGGCCGGCAACAAAGAGTTCAATCTAGAGGCTATGATTTTAGCATAAAGTTTGACATCGGTGTTAAGCGATGATATTGGGCGAAAGTTAGATGGAGTTGTAGGTGCCTTGCCCGGTTTGGGAATGGTTACTATAGTAGCTTTTAACATTTCATCTGGGAATGAAGCTTTTTGGATGGCCGTTCCAAAAACCCGAAGCAGATGGGGAGCCAGCAGGTCTGTAAAGGTCTTGTAGTATTCGGCGGAGAAGCCGTCCGGACCAGGGGTCTTACCACTGGGCAGTGTTTTAATGATTCGAGAGATTTCCTCTACGTAATGGGAGAATTAAGGGTAGATCGTTGGGTTGTAGATAGAGTGGGGAGGTTCAAAGAGCATAAAAAGCTGTAAATATCAGTAGCCGTGGGTATAGGGGTAGATGGATCCTCTTTAAGATTGTATAGGGAACTAAAGTATTCCTTAAATTTATCAGCAATGTCTATAGGGCTTGTGATTTTTGTACCATCCAAAGGGCACTCAAGATGGTGAATTCTGGATTTGGCTCTATGGCCTTTAATCTGATTGGAAAGAAAGGCTCCCGCCTTATTAGCACTAGAGTAATATGTCAAACGTAGTCTCCTCGAAGATTTGTCAAATCTATCCAAGAGAATGGTACGCAGTTCATGTCTTAACTTGTTCAGTTGGGATAAAAGTGCAGGTTGGGGGGCGGGTTTATTTTGTGAGCCTAGATCATGGATAAGTTTGATTAGCTTAGATAATTGAGCACAACATGCAGTTTGTAAAGGAAGGTTTTTATTATTAAGGGAAAACAAAATCCAAACCCACATGGCCCTGTGTGAAAAAGTGTTTGTCCCCTAAACCTAATAACTGCTTGGGCCACCCTTAGCAGCAAGAACTGCAATCAAGCGTTTGTGATAACTTGCAATGAGTCTGTTACAGCGCTGTGCAGGAATTTTGGTCCACTCATCTTTGCAGAATTGTTGTAAATCAGCCACATTGGAAGGTTTTTGAGCATGAACCTCCTTTTTAAGGTCATGCCACAGCATCTCAATAGGATTCAGGACTTTGACTAGGCCACTCCAAAGTCTTTTGTTTTTCTTCAGCCATTCAGAGGTGGACTTGCTGGTGTGTTTTGGTGATCCAAAACTGCAGAACCCAAAACTGCAGAACTTTTGTCCTGCTGCAGAACCCAAGTTCGCTTCAGCTTGAGGTCACTAACAGATGGCCGCACATTATCCTTCAGGATTTTTTGGTAGACAGCAGAATTCATGGTTCCATTTATCACAGCAAGTCTTCCAGGAAGCAGCAAAACAGCCCCAGACCATCACACTACCACCACCATATTTTACTGTTGGTATGATGTTCTTTTTCTGAAATGCGGTATTACTCTTACGCCAGATGTAATGGGACACACACCTTCCAAAAAGTTCAACTTTTGTCTCGTCAGTCCACAAGAGTATTTTCCCAAAAGTCTTGGGGATCATCAGGATTTTT